AGCGGCGCTCTGCGCACCCCGAGCATCTGTCCGGTCGCTCTCGGCACCGCCCGGGGGTGAGCGGCGCAGGGGCACCGGCGCCCCTCCTCCGAAGAGCGATCGTGTTCCTGGGTTATAGGCCCATGCCTGGGCGAAGGTGCGTTGTTGTATCGCAGCTGCTCGCAACTCTTCTCTCTCCGTTCCTTGTTTTCTGTCTCCTCGAGTCAGGATATGTGTTTTATCCGTCTGATAATCTGACCGCAGATGGTCTCAGCCTTCCCCTTACTGAAGAACTCCAGCCTAAGTGTTTGCCAAAAAATAAACCCAACCCAACAGTAATACAAAGCATTGTTTGTTGGTTAGCTTTTCGGGTAAGGTATCAAGTTCTGTTTTCATTAAACTTTGGAGCTAATCTATAAAGATACATGTGGAAAACATGGGAAATGTGGTTTTAAAAGCATCTCATTGGATTTTTTTTGCAAATGGTGTACAAGAGCAATGATTACTGTCTTTGAGGATATGTTAAAACTTAGTGTTGTTAAAAATTGATATCTTCCATTTATTGACTTAAAAGTCTTGCATCTGAAATCTGTGGAAAACTCACAAGACAAGCAAGCATACCATAAGCATCTTTCCTAGTTTCTCAGCTTAGCTCTTTTAGAAAACATGTTTTCCTGGGAGAGAAGAGGAGAAAGCGTTTTTTTTTTCTTTCCTCTGCACTCTTTTTGTTCACTGTGGTGGGTTGACCCTGGCTGAGCACCAGGTACTCACTAAGTCACTCTTATCACCCTCCCCCTTTCCTGTCTCTCCTCTGCAGAGCAAAAGGGGAAAGGAAAATAAAATGGAGACAAAACCCTTGTGGGTAAACAAAGATAGTTTAATGGGAAAAGCAAAGGCGAGCAATGGTGGCCTTGGAAGCAAAGGGGAAAAAAAAATATTCTGTACTTCCCATCAACAGGTTATGTCTAACCCCTTCCTGGGAAGCAGGGCTCCAAAACATGTAGCAGTTGCTGGGGAGGACCAAGGAGTAGTGTTGTCTATCCCTCCTTTGTTCCTTTTACTATCTTGATAGTTGAGCCCACATCATATAGTATGGAATGTGCTTCTGGGCATTTTAGGTCATCTGTCCTGGTTGTGTTCCCCCCAGGCTCCTGCCCCCACATCTCACTGGCAAGGGGAGTGCTAGAAAGAGCCTTGGTGCTGTGTGAATGCTGCTCAGCCGTAGTTGCAACACGGTTGTTACCCTTCTGACTCCCAACACAAAAGCACCATGAGGGCTGCTGTGGAATAATTAGCTCAGCCAGCACCAATAAAGTTGTCTTCACATAAGTATTATGTTTAGTTTCTATCATGTAGAAGACACCTGGAGTTTGCTAAAGGGAGGAAGTTACTGATATTTAAGAAAAACAGTAAAAATCACTTTAAAGTAAGCATGAAATCATGTTTATTGTATTAGCATATTTGAAGTAAAAAATATTGTGTACTCTCTGGGAATGCATACTAGTTTAGTAATATTTAAGAAAAGTTGTTAATAAAATCTTTTCAGAACACCTGCAACAGACGGGAATTCCATCTGGATCAGAAGATGAAGTTTCAGTTCCTGATTCTGCACCAGAAATGGCTGAACCCCAGATAGTTGTGGCTCCTGTGGTAAAATCAAAGTTGTCTATTAAAGCACCTGAGTTTTATCCACCAGGATACAACCAGAACATCAATCAGATGTGTGCAGTGAGTGTTTATATTCTCTTCTTAGTCTATGCTAGTTTGCTTATATCCAAATTAAAAATATTTTCTTGCAATCTCCTGTGAGATAACTGGAATGCTGCATTTGCTGAAGAGATTCAGAAACTTCTGATGATAACCTCCAGAGTCACGGTCAGAACGTTAAGTGATAATGAGTGACTATTCCTGTCTATGAGAGAGCCTTTAGCGTGGGACATTTTGCTGAAGCTTGTTGCATTCCTTGTTGACTACACTCAACATCAGAGTAAGCTGTCCTTCTGGCAACTGCCTCAGTTGTAGTAACATCTACACTGCAATTTAGAATTAAAGGCTTAGCTGCACTTTTATGCAGATTTCACAGGTTTTTGAAGCAAGTTGGGGAGAAAGCTTAAACTTTAACTCTACTGATCACAGGCTTTACCCTTCCCAAATCTACTGTCTTGTGGGTGTGAATGGCTGTAACTGCCTATCTCAGTGTGCCATCGTGTGTCTTTTAATTTCTTCAGTGGTATTCTGTCACCAGAGGGCAAAAAAAGTGGTGTTAGGGTCATTTCCAGCAGTAACCTACCCACATACCTATTAAGAAATATGTTTTCCAGCCAGACTAAGGGGGATGTCAGTTCAATATTGTAGATGCATCATGTGATAAAAAGTTGGTGGTACTTGTTTTCCACTCCATTGTTTTCCATGTCACTGCTTCAGTAATGGTACTCCAGGGGAGATCTATGTGAATTTTTGAAATATCCTTTTGTTATGAAAGCAGCCAAACTCTTGTACTGTATATAAACAGGTGGGAACTATGACTTATACAAATGCAATCAAGTGATAAAAAACAATTATACTGAAACAAATAGATTTCAAATAACTTATAGAAAAATACCTTATTTGAATGCTAAATACAGTGGTTTGTGGTTTTGAAGTCTTTCTCACCAGTAGAATTGACATTACCTTAAAGTTACCAGCTTTACCAGCTTGCTGAATTGAATTACTGTCCTGAATAAAATAAGCCTATAGCCAGTATACAACAGTTAAAATGTCAGCACAAACATGCTTCAGTCGATGGATAATCTAGAGGAAAAGTAACTACTTTGCCCCAGAACGTATTACATGTTTTCTATAGATACAGGATTTCAGTTTCAAGACCAAAAAAAACCCACCATTTGGAATGGTATACATAATGCATACTTAAAATTACAAAATGTTGAGGCTAGCAGTGTTGCTGTTCAGCTGTTTTGCAAACACACACAAGCCTGGGAGAGTTTCTTGCTGCTATGTTGTAGGAATAGGCTATGAATGTGACTCACCTATTAATAAAAATACCTCTTTAAACACTAGCAAAACCTAGAACATTTATTTGGGGGTATGTTGCAAGGACCTTAATCTGATAAATACAGCAGGTGTAGAATAGCCCTGTTGCAGGATTTCATCTTTTGCTGTCTCAAAGTTTGGGATTCTTTTTATTTTAATAACTGAATTGTTTTAATAAACTAGGCTAACTTGCAGTAAAACCAAGATATTTAGCATATTTTAGTGTTACAGAGGTTTTGACCGTGAGTTTTAAAACTTGAGTCAGAACAAAGTTTTGAGAAACTTGTTTCATGACTTAATACCTCGTAGCCTACGTTTATAATGTTTTGTAATTTTGTATCTGAAAGCTGACATTTCTCTTTTGAAGCACACAGTGGTTTTGCTATTAAGCATTTATTGTTTTAGAAGTGTTCATTTCTTGTTTGATTGTACATTAATCATAATTACTCTGTGTCCATATGACATTTGTTTACTAGATTAATTAGTTTTCGATTAGTTCTGATACTCAAACTCATCAGTTACCTGTGAAGGTAGTTTAAGGGGTACAGTATACAAGGCATGGTAGGACTTTACCAGAAGGAACGAAGGCCTCTGTGGAATTCTCTGTTTGCATACAGCTGTCCATCCCATTGGAAGCTGTGGATGTCTGCAGCAAAACTGGTGACTAGATTTAGTTTTGGATTGCCAGCAGGAAATGTCAGACTTGCTCTCTGGCATGGGTATATGGTAATGATACAGCTGTCACTCCATGAGAGTGGCATAATGATGTTCTCACTTCATAGCTTTAGGAGTGAGGTTTGTATTTTCTTTGGCAGAATCCTCCACCCCCACACCACCCCCACACTCCCTTTTCCTTTTTTTTTTTTTTTTTTTTTTTAGTTAATTTCCCAAAGGACACTAAGTAGCCTCGGTGTTGGTTTTGTGAATTTAGCCAAGCATGAGTGTACCACTGAACCTCATACAGCATGGATAGGTGATTTTGTATGTATACAGCAGTTTTTGAGCCTAAGCTTGCAATAACCTTATTAAGAACTTGTTGAGCACATGTAATCTGAAAGGAGGAAAAAAAGTCTTTGTTTTTCAGAAGTCTGAAGAGAAATCATATCAATGATGAATTATTAGTGTCTGAGTTCCTAAATGTAAATGTTCTGTATACTCATCAGGTATAGGAAAGTGATTATTGGCATGTGAACAGAAACAGAGTCCCAGAGCAGATGTCTCATGGATATTTTCTACATACCTTCTGGTTTTTTGTCTTTATGTAAATCTGAGGAGTTCTAGTACCTGTTTAACCTTTTCATTGGTATATCTTTAAACTCATGAGCTGACTCTTGGTAGAAGAGTGGCAAATCCATAATCTTTAAATTGGTGACTCTTTTGTTGTGAATAATCCAGGATCCCATCCTGTAGCTATGAAACAAAGCAGAGGGATTAGGCAGTGTTGGCTTGACTGAGAAATCATTGAAATAAATGGAAAATTTCTAGTTGAGTTGCATGGCTTTGAATCAGAAATTTGTCATGAACTTGTACGCTTGCAGTCTCCTGCTAGCCAACTGCTGTTTAAAAATAATTGAGGGACTTGCTTTGTTTTACTGTGGTGAATACAGTGCATGGTGCTGTCTTCTCTGTTAGCATCTGCCAATGAGAAATGCAGGCGCTTTGTGTCTAGAAGTTACTGGGTTAAATTTAGTTGGTTTTTAAAGTATCGGGTGTTACTAATTTGGCAGTGTACAACTTTATAATGAATTATTCATTTTTCTCTCCCACATGTTCTGTTCCCTGGCATAGTTATTAAAGCCTAGACTGCCTTTGGAGTTGCATATTTAGCACAGGTAAATGAACGTGGTACAGAGTTTAGCCTCTGTGCTTAGCCTCTTAATTACAAAATGGGAAGAGGAATATGAATACTGAGACACCGGTGTACCAAATGGTATTGGGGCCCCTTCCAAAAGAAGGGCATTGTCCCTCAAGATTGAATGCTTATCAGGTGAGTATGAGAGGAGGATACCTTCCATTCTGCTGAGTAAGGACCTCATAACAACCTGATAGCTGTCAGGAGTAGCTTCTTTTATTAGCTACAGAAATTGCATTCCTTGCAACCTGGCTGGAGAGTTTTCAAACACGTTGTCTGGAGAGGTGCTAGTTCAGTTGTATGGGATTAAGGTACAGTTGTTGCACAATGGTGTCATAGTTCTAGGGAACAAGTAACTTTATTGTACAGAACTTTTACTGTGGTACTTGAAATTTTCTAGTAAAAGTTGATTTCCTTTAGAGAAATAGAATATTTAGCAAGTTACACGTAGGCCTGTTAGCCATTATGCTTTGGCTTTATAAGCTCCAAACCATTAGAATCATAAAATACTTTGCTGGAAAGGACCTTTGAAATTCCTCTGCTCCAGTCCTCAATGGAAGGCAAACCCAAATCTTATCAGGTTGTCAAAGGCTCTATCCTTATGAGTAGTAGCAATGTGCCGCCCTTTCTGTAAACTTTTTTTTTTCTATTTCTAATGGGCAGCATTAAGTCACTTTGATATTATTCACCAGGCAAATACTCCACTTACGTAAACATCAGAGGGAATCTTCCTATTTTTTCTTCTATTACATTGATGTGACCCCCATTAGCTTAAGTTGTCTACTCCTATGACATGGGTCTTTGAAGAATTTTGGGAAATCTGCTTTTTTCCCCACACATTCTTCATTGGTCATGAAATTAATGTCAAATATGATTTTCAGCAATGTCTATCTGTTTTCCTCCACAGTTCATATCCAGATAAAAATCTTTCACAGATCCATGTTGCCTCCTAGTAAAGGAGAGACTGAGACATTTTAAAGACAGTAAACAACATCCCCTCATTACAGGAGGGCGGGTGGAGTGGAGTATATAATTGTAAACCTTATCAATGTATTTATGTCTGCTAAGTAAAGAGAAAGTGTGGGATCATTTTTAGCTTGATTTTTTGTTACATCAGATATATTTTACCTTTTTCTTGTTAAGTAGATCAGTTGAGAATTCAGATATTCTGTATGTTACCCTTCTGTCTTGAGTAGCTAATTAAGTAATTTATTTAGCAGCCCCTCTTCAGGCTCCTGCTTGCACTTCTGAAGTCTGTATGAGATGCTTTTCACAATCTTTTGTGCAGCGTGACAAAGCGAATTAGTTGTACTGTTATTACTAGTGACATCATAAAAGCATGCTGCTTTTTTTGCTATTCCTCTTACATACTAGCACTGTAATCACCCAAAACAGTAGTGACTTGAGATATTTTGTCCATTCAGAAATGAGTGTGTGTAACTAGGCAGCCTTCTGTTTGATCAACGAGAGCATAACCATCACTAAAGTGGTATTGTGCTAGATCATCCTTTCTTTAGGAAGCAGGCATGTTTACTTATGATTTTTTAACTTCAGCAGCTGCAAGCTAATGCAATACTGTAAGTAGTTTTATTTCATACCTTGTAGTGCTTTGTCCATTGCCAAGAGATGCAACTTTGCTGCCCTTAAAAGGTCAGTTTTCCTGCCTATACTTTCTGTGTGGAAACACTACACTGTATTTATTGTACTCCTGTAATTTCTCCTCTTTCTGAATATTCTGGAGCACTGTAGATTCTGTGTAAGCCTGTCACAGTTTAGGGTCAGGGCTGCCCCCAGACCTGTAACAGGCCCTCGCTGCTAACCTTCTCCCCCCCTCAAAAGGGGAAGGAAGGGAATAAGAGAGAGAGAGATGCTTATCAGTTAGAAAAGTAACACAGCTTTAATGAAAATACTACTGCTAATAGTAGTAGTAATAATAATAAAATAGAATATATACAAATATATACAAAACCAGTATTGAACCCATCTCTCTCCTGATGGCAATATGTCACTGTCAACCCGATGCTGTGGAGCAGGCCCTGGGGAGAAGTCCCAGGCTGGACTCAGCAGAAAATGGCAGCTGGGTACAGGAGCCGGACTCTGGAACTGCATTCAGGTACAAAAGGCAGAGTAGATGGAGTCTTCCTTGGATGGCAGCCAATGAAGAAGCAGCAAAAGGGAGGAAGAAGGTGGAAGGGAGACAGAGAAGAGCTTGACCCTCCTGATCCTTCAGCTTTTATACTGAGTATGAGGTATATGGATGGAATACCCCATTGGTCAGTTTTAGGGTCACTTATCTTGTCTGCTTCTCCCTGCAGGTTCAGCCTTTACTTTCTGGCCCCCATCTGTGTCGTACACAGGATTTAGTGTGACCTTGGTCTGCACACCATTCCCTGGTAGTAACTCCAAACATAGAGCTTTATCACTGTTAGTAGCAGACCCTGTCTGTGAAAATATGCTGTTAACTTCAGACAGTGCAGTTAATTAGAAGAAGCTTCATCTGAAAAATGAAATCATTGAACAGAGTTATCTCTGTTCTACCCCAAAACAGGACAAAGCCCAAAATAATTTGTTTCAAATTTTACATTATTTTCCCTTCTACAGTTCATATCTCTGCAGCACAGTTTGTGTGAGCGTAAAAACAGGTGTTGAGCCTCAGTTTGGTAGCATTATTCCTAGCAGATAAATTTATTTATTAGTCTTAGTTAATCTTGCACTCAACTTGACAAAACATTTGCTTTCTTTTTAATGTGTCTTTCAATATGCTTTGCTGGGAGACCCAAATCTCTGTAAGAGCTTGTTACCCAGTCTGTAAAATAGTAGGATTAGGAGAGTTTTCTGATGCACTGAGATGTGTGCTCTCTGAAAATGTTGAACTGTGTAATGAATATCACTATGTTGTGTGCACACTCAAGACAAAAGGCTGTATGGTTAATTCTGGAGATAGTAAGTGTAACAACATTGTTTTACACTTCTTTTAAATAATTGGTGTATTCTTTCACTGCTATAGGACGTTTGCTTTGAAGATACGGATGATGGCTATCTGACTTTGACAGAATATATACAAGACTTCCTAAATCACCTTACCGAGCAGCCAGGTTGTTTTGAAACTGAAATACAGCAGTTTGCTGAAATACTGAATGGCTCTGTCACTGCAGATGAAGCTTTAAAAGAACTTGTTGAGCTCATCTATCAGCAGGTGGGCTGTGTGTTCTGTCCCATAACACAGATGTTACGCTTCTGTTGCCTGGTGTCCAAGATAAGCATTCCAGTGTTATTTGTTACCTAATTGCATCTGCATAGTATCTTCACAGTTTGAATTTTTTGTTTTTAGGCTGAAACATACAGAGAAATGTTTTACTCGAAAAATTGAAATGGTAGCTCAAGTGTAGGATACCTCTATGGTTCATGTTTCCCCAATTTACGCTGCTGCTTTTGTTGTGTATTTGTGTCTTCTGGGTAACCTATTACAGTTGAAATTACAGTGCTTAATTAAAGGGGTTATATTTGAATTGCTGTATTTACATAGTAGAGATTTAAGGCACTCAAGCAGTGTCAGAGTTGTAAATTTTTGTTTTATCCAGCAAAAAAAATTCTTTATAATACTACAATATTCTTAATTCCTTGGTATTTAAAAAAAAAAAAAAAAAAAACACCTTAGACCTAGTATACCCATCACCCTTTAGGAAATATTCTTTTATTGGCAGGCTTTCTTCTTAATTTAGGATATACCTATTTCAGAACAGCATCACTGAAGGAAAGGACAGCTCATCTAATGGTAACTAGGTCCAGTCCCATTGATGGCCACAGAAATGAGGACAGAGACCTTGAGCTGAACTCTGTACTAATTGGGGGAGCCACTGGAAAGAACAGCTTACATGTTGCTTAGCAAATGAGCTGCTGTTACTGTCTTTCGGGCTTGCTGCAGAGAATGAAGTCACACGAGTGCTTGCTGTTCATTGCACTCTCTCTCACCTTCCTGGGTTGGTCGCTTTCAAATTCTGCCTTGAAGAATGCAAACCCTTATTCACCTTTTACATGCAGATACTTGCAGAATATTCTGATCCGGGGTATGTAGAAGTTGCATGACTGGTTGGTCATTGCACAGAGACGTAGAGTCTCACGTTTTGTATTATTGCACAGAACTGGTGCACATTTGATTTGGAACAGTTCAGTTAGGCTTTCAAGATTACCTGTATTGGGCAGTGTCATTTTCTCATCCTTTATTTGGACACATGGAATATATTTTTTTAAGGCTGAATATATTCCTTACAGCTTCATGACAATAAAAAAAAAGATTAACTTATCCCATTTTTAACTTCATATATCTTAAATGCATTGACTTTTAATTTAAGTCTTTAATATGGCCTCTTCCTTCTCCCCCCTGTTTAAAAACAAGTACAGTGTTAGGGCTGGTATTCCTTCCTCAGCTGGGAAGCATTGAGTGTTATCAGTCTGAAAGTTTGTGAAAAATAAAACACTGCAAAAAAGCTGTGCTAGTATGCAAAAGCATCTGATTTTAGTTTTGTTGTAGATCAGAATAGGATGGTGTTTGAGTGTAAGATATGCTTATTATTCTACTCTGTGCTCATAATGCTTATTATTCTTCTGTCTTGAGCAGACACTCAAGTATTTGTGCTTCCTGTCTCAAAAAATAGCTGAAGTGTATTTATAAGCATCTGCTTTGGTGATGATACTCAAACCCAGCTAAGCAGATATACAAATGCTAGGTTTGTGAAGTAAAAAATCTAAAATGAAGGAAACCCAAATCCTGAATAGTCTTCCCTTCCTTTGTGTGACAGGTATCTTAGCCTGTCTGTATTAATTATATACTTCTCCCTCTTCTTTCCTAATCCATTTATACCTCTGAACAGAGTGGAGTGCCAGTTTTCTTGTTTTCCAAAAGTTAATTATTCTGACTTCATAGCTTAGGAATCCTGACTACTCTGCAGTTAATGCAGTGAGCTGCTCCTGATAGAGCAGCTAAAATTTCTGAAGGTAATGTGCTGGTCGATCAGCCTTCACACCTAGAAGTGTGCAAGCACATGTATAGCACCAATAGATATCAAGGTGTAAAAGGAATGTGTAAAGATGATAAAACCATAGAAGTTTAGTGAATTTAGTATCCCTGTTTTCTTTTTGGCAGAGCTGTTGGAGTTACTTACACTAGAACCTCTTTTTCTGAAGCTATATCTGAGAAATAATCTCAAATTCAAGTGTTGTTAAGAGTTTAAAACAAGTGAATTGCCAAAGTGAAGGGATGTTCTGCATTAAGCCCTACAGGAGGCTGAATTCCCAATGAGTTCAAAATTTCAAGAGGTGGAAAAATGTATCAGATTTAAAGTAAAATATATTTATACCTTAGGCTGTGGGATTTCCTCACTACTGCCTGTTTTTAGATGACAGGAATATGAATGTTCAACAGTTACAGGACGTGTTTTACAAGAAAAGAACCATCAAGAGCTATTAACTGTCGCAACAGAGTGTTAACTCTGAATCCGGAGTTTGCTGTACTGCACATGGCTGGAGCACGTACAGGAGAAAGTGTTTATCTTTACTTGCCATGGTTTTGTACTCTTTACCTGACTATTCACTATTGCCAAAAATAGATTCTGGGATAAATAGCTCTTAAAATGGATGAAGGCAGCTTTTAAAAATTTTGCATTCACATCCTCATTGCTCCTTGAGAGAGTGCATGTTCTTGAAAAGTGGCTTAATGTCCCATGTTGATTGTTTTTTGTAAACAGTTTGCAGGTAACTTTCAGACATGCTTTGGTTGTAGGCCAAACTGGAGTAGAGCTGAGGACACATGGCATAATGGTGGTTATTTTCCTAAAGACACAAAATCACAGTAATAATGAAGTTTTAAGTGCTGAAATGGGTATAGTAAAGTGGTGATGAGGCAGAAAAATTAACATGACAAATAGTAATTATTCATCTGCTTTTCAATTGTCTGATTTACTTGTTAAACACCATTTTCAAAAAAACTTGTGAATGTGTTTCCTGATAGCCTAATCATGAGTTTTATGAATAATTTCCTTTTTCAATTTATTTTGGAAGGCCACATGTGTTCCAAATTTTTCGTACATGGGAGCACGGTTATGTAACTATCTGTCTCAACATCTAACGGTTAGTCCACAAAGCGGGAACTTCAGACAGATGTTGCTTCAAAGGTCAGTACCAGCATGTCCTTTAAGCCTGTTACTGTCTCAGGTTACATGTCTTTCTGTTTTGTATTTAATTCCTAACATTGTGTGCAGAGAGGTACGTATATAAAACGGAAGTTTGGATTGAGGATTACTGAAGCCCAGGTACATACTGGATATTTTTAACGAGGAAAATAGGGCTCCATTTGAAGTTCTTTAGGCTCTTTTGAACTGTGTCTTAGACTGGTCCCAAATGACAGGGTAAATATGAAAACTACTCAACTTCAAAAGTATACTAAATGCAAATATATATGTATTGGCATTGTCTTTTGACTCTTGCAAGGACTTGCTTCATCATGTTTTTTTCTTTAATTACTTTCCTGGCTTCGGTAGTCATTGATCTGCTAACTGACTTCATATTTGTGAAGGAGATGCATAAAATGCAGAAGGATAAATTTCAATTTTCTGCTACTACAGAGTTCTTGGGCTCACAGTTCAAAAATTACTAGACTTCACAGTTGATAAAAATGCTATATGTTTTTAATGGACGTATTTCATTTCAAATCTTACTGGATGACATTTGAAGGAGTAGTACACTTTAATATTTCAGAATTCTTCAGACGTTGTCTTTCCTTTAAGGACTTCTGGCTTTCTAAGCTTCAGGGTTGCTTTTTCTTTTAAAAGTTTTACTTAGTCCACCTATGTTTAGGAGCAAAACCATGATTAAAAGCAGTGCATTCTAATGATCTTTCATCAGGAGTGGCACCTTATGCAGAAGTTGAAAATATTTCTGGTTTTCTTTGTGCCAAAGCAGATGAGCCTTTTTTGCCTTCAAAATTATCACTTTTGACTTCTGTTTTAACTGTTTGTTACATGAACATGAAGGAAATCCCTGTTAATGTTGGATTATCTGGTTCATGGTTTTTAAAGTAAACTCACTAGATAATTCATTTTAGCACCATGAGCTGAAAGCTGCTTATGTTTTTATTGCTGGGGGAGGGAGGGCATATGCAACCTAACAAAATAACCACAGTTTCTCTTCTGTTTCTTAGCTCAAGTTTCTACCTTAAATGTATTTCAGTTCCCTAAATTTTTCAGTTTCTCCAATATCTCTTAATCCATTGAGAGTACTTTAGAAGTTGTCTGGCATTCCTTTTGTTGCAAATATATTTTTAATTTATTTTTGAACTGCTTTTTGTATTTTTGGCACAATTGTTGAATACTAGAAAAAATATTTAATGGCCATATAATCTTAATCCTCTGTATTTATATCTAAATTATAGAATCACAGAATGGTTTGGATTGGGAGGGCCTTAAAGATCATCTAGTTCCAAGTCCTCTGCCATGGGCAGGGACACCTCCCACTAGACTCTTCCAGGGTGTCACAATCCTTACAGAGAAGAACTTCCTGATACCCAATCTAAGTCTACTCCCTTTCAGTTTGAAACTTTTTATCCCTCATCCTATCACTGCACTCCCTGAAACAGTCCCTCCCCATCTTTCCTGTAGGCCCCTTTCTAGGTACTGAAAGGCTGCTATAGGGTCTCTCCAGAGCATTCTCTTCTGCAGGCTAAACAACCAAACTCTTTCAGCCTGTCCTCACATGGGAGGTGTTCCAGCCTCCTGAGCATCTTTGTGGCCCTGCTGCTCAAACAGGTCTGTGTCTTTCTTATGCTGGGGACCATGGACCTGGACACAGTACTCCAGGTGGGTCTCACCAGAGCAGAGGAGAGGGACAGAATCACTTCCCTCAACCTGCTGGCCACGCGGCTTCTGATTCAGTGCTTCTGATGCAGCCCAGGGTACAGTTGGTCTTGTGGACTTCAGTCACAAGTGGCTAGCTCATGTTGAGCTTCTCATCAGCCAGCACCCCAAAGTCTTCTTCCTCAGGACTGCTCTGAATTCACTCATTGCCCAGCCTCTGTGTGCCGGGGATTGCCTCGACCCACGTGCAGGACCTTGCACTTGGGCTTGTTGAACTTTGAGGTGCACATGGGCCCACGTCTCACGCCTGTCACAGTCCTTGTGAATGGCATCCCCTGCCTCCTGTGCGTCGCCTGCACTGCTCGGCTTGGTGTCATGAGTTACACGGCTATCACTTTAAAATGGTGAGAGGAAGGGTTTATCTAACAGGTGTAAAGGCATCTAAGACAAGGTGGGCAGCACCCTGAAAGGGGGCAAATGTCTGTCAGAGTATATCTGCTTTATTTCTGTGAACATTTGGCTGCCAGTGTCAAAATTCCTGGACACACATTCTGATATATAAACTGTTTATCTGTCTTCTAATTTTTACATATTATAATTAGCTCTGTTTCATTTTGCTGTCTCATGTCTCAGTGCTTGAAAATATAATCATGTAATCTTACCTATTCATTTAAAAGGACACAAATCCATGATGTCTTTATGAGGTTCTGTTGTTTCCTTCACAAGTCAAGCTTCCCAGGATTTGGCATTTAACAGTTTTCATCCAGGAGCAATGTATACCAACAAAG